CCACAATCGCTCGTCTTATCTGGAATGATTGCCACTGGTTTTCCTCGTAAGGTTTTCTCACAATGTTCCGCAACATTACATTGTGCAACGACATAATCAAGTCATTTTGAATACGGTTACTTGTGTACTGGCAATTTTTGGCATCTTCCGCCAAGTGTTTTTCCAGCACAGGATCGTAGTTAGCCACCAACTGGGTGGCACACTTTCCGCTCCTTCTGAATGTTCATGAAGTGGTCGGCCACCTTTACAAAGTATACACACAATATCGATGAAACGTTCCATTATACAGCGATTTTGTAGCCGCTTTGCCTCACCAGCAGCAATCATAGCTGTTTTTGGTGATCCAGTTCTTCGTCGATACCATTCCTGGTTTTGAAATTCTTCCACGAACCATACTACCAACATGGGTATCACTGCGATTGTGTTTGCCCAGCAACTAAGTCGCTTCCTTCCAATTTCTGAACCCTGTAGGAATCGTTGTAATAATGTTTTGCATCATGATCTTTTTTACAGGTTAAAAATATAAACCAGAAAAAAATATATTCTTCAAGGTACTGGCACAGACAAACAGACATAACACATTGAATATTTCTCACTGTAAAACATCGCCGCTAAAACATTACCGCCATCTGTTGAATACACTGTGGTAGATAGTACGCTGAACAGATGGCGGTAGTGTGTAAACGTCAAACGCAAGGGAAGTGACTATGCGCGCCACAGGTGGCGGTACTACCAACAATCAATACGAAACTAACGATTTTAAATTGGCTCACCACTTTAGTAGCCTATTGGTCCCAAGCAAACGATTAACGTACCCTATTCTAATTGAAATTCTATTACTACACTATGTTTGTTTTGATTCGCTATGAAAGTTTGACAGATAACATCAGGGGTGTGAGGATTCATGCAGAACATGCAGGGGTGAGTGAAATAGCTTGGGACTGCTTGGGACCGTTGTTCTGGTACTGAGTGAGCCAAAAATAATAATGATTTTCTTCGGGACCCAGTGGTCTTAGAGTTACCTCTATACTACCATAGAGGTAACTCTAAGACCACTGGGTCCCGAAGAAAATCATTATTATTTATGGCTCACTCAGTACCAGAACAACGGTCCCAAGCAGTCCCAAGCTATTTCACTCACCCCTGCATGTTCTGCATGAATCCACACACCCCTGATGTTATCTGTCAAACTTTCATAGCGAATCAAAACAAACATAGTGTAGTAATAGAATTTCAACTAGAATAGGGTACGTTAATCGTTTGCTTGGGACCAATAGGCTACTAAAGTGGTGAGCCAATTTAAAATCGTTAGTTTCGTATTGATTGTTGGTACTACCAACTACGATACTTTTAAATTGACCGTTAAATGCTTGTTCGATGAACAACTTGCGAGTGTTATGTCTGTTTGTCTGTGGTACTGGTATCATCTTTTATTGAGTTACCTTGCTGAAATTTTGTGCAGTACGTTTTTGTATATTTGGAAGGCATCGTTACAGTTTATTTTTGACTATTTCAAGATGTTGTAAGCCCTTATATGTTGTTGTAGTTACACTTTACTATTACCGTTGCGAGTACGTTGAATTTAGTCATTTTGAGCGAAAATAGTAGTTCTAATTTTTTTTTCAAATTTTGACCTAAATGCCAAGGTTTAAAAATATGTAACGATTGGAACAGCGCACACAACTATTTTGACAAGCGAGTACAGTATTGTTAACGGAATGACGACTTGTGCGAAGGATTCAGATACTTAGACAAATTCTTAGTTAGACAACAATAGACCAAGGTTCAATGGCAAACTAATACCCACTTTTCAATTGGGGAATCCAAAAGATGTCTTTAAACTTTGTACAGTTGCAAAAAAGTCCATCCTCAGAATTCCTTGAGATTCTTTTCGAAATTTTTAGAACTCTATGAGCTCTTCTGCAATTCTTCTCCGAAGTCCTCTGGAATTATTTTTAGAACTCTTCTTGACTTTTACTCAGAACACCTTGGAATTGAAATTCCCTTAGAGTTTCAGAAGAATCTCCTCAGTATTATCCAGAAATGATTCCCGGAATGAGCTAGAAATTATCGGTACTCCATTGAAATTTTCCTCAATATCCCTTTGGAATTTCACTCAAAATTTAATTTTCTCTGTATTCTTTTTGGATTTATCTTGGAACTATCAGCAGGATTCACTAGAAATTATTCGCAGAATTTTCTTGGAATACTCCCCAGAAATCCTTTGGAACTGTCCTCAGAATTCAATATCCTAGGTTCCTATCGGATTTTTTAGAACTCTCCTAGGAGCTCTTTTGAAATTCTTCTCAGAAGTCCACTGGAGTTATACTTAGAACTCTGTATTCTCCAGAAATTCTTCCCAGAATGAGCTTGAAATTATCATCGGAATTCCCTTGAAATTTTCCTCAACATCCCTTTGGAATTTCATATTCTCTCGGTATTCTTTTGAAATTATCTTGAAACTATCTGCAGTATTCACTAGAAATTATTCGCAGAATTTTCATGGAATCATCCCCAGAAATCTTTTCTTGTGGAACTGCCCTCAGAATTCAATACCCTTCTCGGAAGTCAAGTTTAAGTTGTCCGTCCATTCACCAGAACTGTGCAATTTTTACATTAGTAATTTTCAATTCAGATTGTTGCAAATCTTACACCAGAAATTTTCAATATAAACTTGCCCCCAGGTAATTTAACACCAGAAAATTTCAACTGTCCAGAACGATGCAAATTTTTCACCGTTAATTTAATAAATAAAATCAATAAAAATTGCTTCTTCAGTCTTCTGATTGGTGCAGATTTCCTTTTTCCATTTTCCACCAGACATTTTCAATATAGCTGGTTTCTCCTATCATCAGAATGGTGCAAATTTTACACCAGAAATTATTCTTAAAATTTGTTTCTCTATTGCAAACAAATGAATGCAAATTTAAGACCAAAAATTTTCCGAAAAGCTTGTCCATCCCTTTACCAGAACGGTGCAGATTTTCCACCAGAAATTTTCAATAAAGCTTAATTTTAAATAAAGCTTGTGCCTTCATTTACCAGACCAGTGCTAGTTTTCCACCAGAAATTTTCTGTTGATTTCAGTTATCAGAGCTATGCAAATTTTGCACCATAAATTTTCAATAAAGCATGCTCCTCCATTCACCAGAATGGTGCACCAAAAATTTTCAATGGAGTTTGTTTCACCATGCACTTTTGTAGTGCAATTTTCAGGCTTTGCCTGAATGTTGCAAATTTTCCACCATAAATTTTCAATGAAGCTTGCATTCATCAGAGTGATGCAAATTATGCTTTAGAAAAATGAATAAACCTTGCTTCTACATTAATCACAGTGCTACGAACTTTCCACCAAAAAAATTCAGTTAAATGTGCACTTAAAATTATTAGCGTGATTCAATTTTTCCACCAGAGTTATTCATTTTGATTAGTCCCTCTATGCACAACCTTGATGATATTTTTACACCAGAAATATTAAAAAAAAAGCTTTTTCTGCAATTTACCACCACGAAGGTGAATTTTTTCAACCTTAACTTTACCCTCTTCTTTTAACCCTCCATGAACCTTGAAAAAACATTTGCACCAGAAATTTTTTGTATGCACCCTTTGTTTGTCCCTTCATGGCCCTTTGTGCAATTTTCAGGCACCATCTCAAAGGAATTGAAAGGTTTTCAGTGCCCTTATATTATGAAATGAAGTTATGTTACCTTCAAATCAAGTTATCAAGAAATTAAGTTATTTTATATCATGATTTTGTAGATGTGGAAATAAAAATCTTATTAATAAAAGAAGGGGCAAATGCACCACCTTGCCCTACCCTGTGTACGCCAGTGTTAATAACTCGCTTGAATAAACTAGAGTCGGTGTATAATGAGTCACGCCAAGAGTGAAGCCAAGTCTACCTATTGGACTGTCAAACTGGCTACCTATCGTGCAAAGTAAACAAACATTACGATGCTATGAAAGGTCCACGAAAGGTATCGCAATAAAATATAAAATATAATCGAAGAAATGATCATAAACCCGCAGTGAGCATTAAATTGTCATGGGATACGTTTGGTAACGATCAGTAATGAGAATTTCTACTATTTTTTGTTAAGATGGTTGGACAAACTCACTGATAGAATGATTTACAACAGCCGCTATTTTTTTTTTCTCGCTAGAAGTCATTTGAAGTTGATGTAGCAGTCCTCTGTTGCCAAGTGAAAAGAAAGGGAATCTTTCGAAAACCGTGATGCGAGTTCAACTGTTTTTCTCTTGGCGTGACTCATTATACACCGACTCTAGAATAAACATTTCTCGGCTAGCACTAACCCCTCATTTTATCTGTCAAATTTTCATAGCGAATCAAAACAAACATTATGTAGTAATATAATTTCGACTAGAATGGGTTACGTTAATCGTTTGCTTGGGACCAATAGGCTAGTCAAGTAGTGAGCCAATTTAAAATCGTTAGTTTCGTATTGGCAAATCAAAGTTGACACTCGTGGAGAATAGAAGAACTATGAAAGTGATGATGGTTTCAAAATTTTCCACGGGAAGGTATACGATTGCAATCTTAAAATGCTTTTATTTTTCAAATGGAGCATTTTATTTAAATCTGGTTTCTGCTATAGTGGTAGAAAAGCTGAAATCTATGTATACACTTAAAAATCAGGAAAAAAATTATTTTTTCTATATTATATGTTTATTGAGTAGTCCTTATGTTTTCTACTAACGTAGCATCAACCAGATTTAAATAAAATGCTCCATTTGCAAAATAGAAGCATTTTAAGATTGTACTCGTATACCTCACCGTGTAAAATTTTGAAACCATCATCACTTTCATAGTTCTTCTATTCTCCACGAGTGCCAACTTTGATTTGCCAATTGATTGTTGGTTGTACTGTTATTCTAACCGTCTCCGGAATGAATCACCCCTCGAACCGAAACTGCTCGCAATATTTTTTCCACCGGGACCAATCGCAGTGACAGCTCCCCGTCGCAGGTGGATTCTGCAGTGTGCGTGTAGCAAAAGTGAAAAGAAAACGCCATCAGCAGCAAGTGAAAACGCGCTCCGCATAATTTTCTGTGAACATTCTATCAAAATCGGTGATTTCTCCGCTTGCAAAGTAGCGTAAAGTGTACCGCAAAGCGCTCAGCCATGTCCGGAAGACGACTACCGGCCAACGAGGATCTCTCGAACGTAGAATTCGAAACCAGCGAAGATGTCGAGGTGCTGCCAACTTTCAACTCCATGGCGCTCCGCGAAGAGCTGCTGCGGGGTGTTTATGCTTACGGTAGGTTTCTTTTGGACCTGAATTCGCATTCCGGGTGGGGGAGGTGAAAGTTTTGATTGCGGATTTTTCTTGCATTTCAGGCTTCGAGAAACCATCGGCCATCCAGCAGAGAAGCATCCTACCGATCGTGAAGGGACGCGATGTCATTGCACAGGCCCAGTCCGGTACCGGTAAAACGGCTACCTTCTCGATTGCTATCCTGCAGTCGATGGACACGACACTGCGCGAGACACAGGTTCTCTGTCTTTCGCCGACGCGTGAATTGGCCGTCCAGATTCAGAAGGTTATTCTGGCGTTGGGAGACTTTATGAACGTCCAGTGTCACGCCTGTATCGGTGGAACGAATCTGGGCGAGGATATCCGGAAGCTGGATTACGGTCAGCATGTGGTCAGTGGAACGCCAGGTCGCGTGTTCGATATGATCAAACGTCGGGTGCTGAGAACCCGGTCCATCAAGATGTTGGTCCTGGACGAAGCCGACGAGATGCTGAACAAAGGATTCAAGGAGCAGATCTACGATGTGTACCGGTATCTGCCGCCGGCGACGCAGGTGTGCCTAATTTCGGCTACACTTCCGCACGAGATTCTCGAAATGACATCCAAATTTATGACCGATCCGATTCGTATTCTGGTCAAACGGTAAGATTCGGGTTATGTTTTGTAAGAATTCTTCATTTTCAAAAGGTTTCTTTTTTTGGATTCCCACAGTGATGAATTGACACTGGAAGGTATCAAGCAGTTCTTCGTCGCTGTGGAACGCGAAGAGTGGAAATTTGATACCCTTTGCGACTTGTACGACACGCTGACCATCACGCAGGCAGTCATCTTCTGCAACACCAAGCGCAAGGTCGACTGGCTGACGGAGAAGATGCGCGAGGCTAACTTTACGGTCAGTTCCATGCACGGCGATATGCCGCAGAAGGAGCGTGACGAAATCATGAAGGAGTTCCGCTCGGGACAGAGTCGGGTGCTGATTACGACCGACGTTTGGGCTCGTGGTATCGACGTGCAACAAGTATCGCTGGTCATTAATTACGATCTGCCGAACAATCGTGAGTTGTACATTCATCGCATTGGTCGTTCGGGTCGGTTCGGTCGCAAGGGTGTGGCGATCAACTTTGTCAAGAGCGACGACATTAGGATTCTGCGAGATATCGAACAGTACTACTCGACGCAGATCGATGAAATGCCAATGAATGTGGCGGATTTGATTTAGAGAAAGAGAACGCACGGGGACGTGGAGATGGAACGTGAGTTTTACTTTGCATATTACACACACACAATATTTCGAGTATTTAAAATCTATTAGCCAATAAGTATCTGAATGAGTAAAAATGTATAACAAGCTGTAATCACATAACGAAATTACTACTTGATCAACTGGTAGGTAACACATGTAATTACGATCATCATCAATTTGGTCTACCAATAAAGAGAGGAAACTCTTTCAATCTCAGTAAAGCCGCTTGATTGATTTGTATGTAGAGAAATTTCTAATTCGATTTACCTAGCAAATAATACTGCTTTTCTATCAATTGCCTCTGACGCGATTTAAGTTAAATCATGTACCTAACCCTTTCTTACTCAGAGAGCCTATTAATTATAATAGGTACATTGTTTTACGTCAACCGATGCTACCGAGCTACTGGACAAGGAGAATTACTAGTCAGCTGAATGCCGTTCCGACGGATGACTTCAATTCGAAGCTTGACTCCGACTACATGGACTGTAAGTGGTGATCGGGGTTCACTCTTCCCCTATCGACCAGTACAACAAAGTCACGAGGGTTTCCCGTGCTGACCATACCAACTATGAAATCGACCACATCAGCCTTCTTGGTGTCTCGGAGACTCGGGGGCCAATTCAACTAGAAGAAACAAAAGTGAAAAAGTCGTTCGTGGAAGAAATCGAGACCCGAGGAGCGGATGTTCCAGAAGATTACTCAGAGAAAAGTGTAGATCACGGATGAAACCTGGAGGAAGATTGATTGAGAACCAGAGGAGCCATGAAAGAAGTCCGTTAATGGTATTCGGCTTTAGAGAAAGAAGACAAGTGCTCTTCTAGACGGGACAAGGGAGTGTGTGTGTACTCTCTGGCAGGGCTTGAAAGGGGATCGCATATCGACTGTGACTGCGTGATCGCGTACGTTTTCTGCATTCAATGTGCGAAGCAAGCACGTCGGTTTGACTGGCAAAATGGCGCAGTCGTTCTGCCTTTTGTCGATTGCTTGTGTGGTGTTTGCCGCAGCAACTCGGTGGAAGCCGATTTTTCAATTCATTCATTCTCCCGCTTATCGTGCATGTTGAAAGTTGAAGCTGCAGAATGACCGGGAGTACTCTGCGTATTTTGTTTTCATTTCTCTTTTCCAATGATGAGCTATGCTGTACGAGTCTCCCGATAAACGCGGTAGGAAATATGTTATATTCACCGCTATAATTCGGCTGTTTTCAAACCAATCGATCTAATTTTTAATATTTGAAGTCTCTGGTTAATACTTTTTACGTACAAAAATGAAATCGACTTCTTTCTTCCTACCGAGCCGAACAATGAATCAGATCCTTTGTAACATTGACAGATTCTCTTTGTCGATTTTATCTTTGCATGGCCATAAATATTAATTTCCAGCTATTTTCAAATCACAGTTTGATAAAAGAAGGTATTATCAGCAACGGTTTTGTAGCCAAGTAATTAACCGTTATGTGATCGACAAAAAAAAACACCTTTAGGAGCTCGACAAGGTACTTCCACAAATTGAAATACTTGCTACAATGTCCATTCGGAATAGTCTGGTTCCCAGAAATCCGGATTTCTTGTAAAATGTTCCATAACTAAGCATTTTCTTGCCTCTCGCTAGAATATTGAAGGAATCGATATCAAAGTAGAATCTCCTTCAAGAAACAATTTCAGCTTACTTGAGGACCAGTTTAAGGTTTCTCCCCGGAACGGCCATTCCGGCGCAGGTTCCCGTAGGGCCTCTAGTGGCCATGGAAGAGTTTTGGAAGAAACCCCTACAATATGGGTATCAAAATTCATGAATTTACAGCAGGAGACTGTTTATCATAATTTTGTGATCATCCGATAGATTGTCCCGGAGTTGGTTCCCGTAGGGCCTCTAGTGGCCATAGAAGTGTTTGGAAAGAAACCCCTGCAATGATTTTTCAGATTTTGCTCCACCTCCGCCAATTGCGTTTGAGTTGTAATTTGCTTGTTATTTCATACCACAATAGCCTTTCGAGGTTTAAATGGCAATTACAAGGGAAAAAAATATTTTGTTTTATTTTCTTCGTTTTAGCCTTTTTCCAAAATGATATACGGGTATGCCTACTATCTTTTCTTATGTAAAATTTGGAGACCACTTTTTGAAAGAACTTTCTCAAATTTTCTCGTAATAATTTCCTTATAAAAATCAAAGAGCAGTATAAGATCGCAACCAAATGGGTTCAAATTTCTGGAGAATAGTCAGAAATTATAATCGATTGAGCAGGGTAGAGCAAAATCTATATTTTTAAACACCCTTGTATAGAGGCTAGTCATGGATATGCTAAAGATAATTTATGAACATTTTCAGCCTGTTGTTTTAGCAACCTAGCAATCTCTAGCGTAAAAAATGTATCGAATTTGAGGGAAAAAACGGTAAAGCATTCGAACTGGGGTCATTTCTTTATTATCTTACAGGTTTGTCCTAATAAAGGGTGGTTAGGGAAATGTTACGTTTATTTTATTTGCGAGTGGGCTAAAGGGTATCAGAGTATCAAAATTTAATAAAATGTTGCCCTTGGGTAGAGTTTATATTAGATGGAAGGAAAAAATAGAGTTTATCTCAGCGAATTACAGTTCAACTTTTCGAGGTTTTCAGAACATCACTTGCTATAAGATTACATAGCTTAAGAACGAATGCTCTTAGAAACAAGGTTGTAGAGTGAAGCACTACTTCGGAATATTGTAAAAGTTTCCGTTATACGCGTCAAAAATAATGAAGACAAACAGCGATATCCAAAATATATAAATGTAAGAAATGATTTGCTCAGAAGTTTAATTAAAAAAGCTGTGTGTATGGCGCTGTCGGAAGACTGATTTTTGGGGGTTTGCCGAAGTGAAGTGAGGTATGCTGCAATGGAACCGCACCTTAGATTTAAATGATGAATAAATTAAGAGTGATACTATCTGCTCACCGCTTTTTCTGCGCTTTCCTTCAATCAATTGAAAAACAGCGATGAAATAGTGGTGACCACTAGCACAACACCATCCAATTTGTTGAGGCACTACGGTTGAACAAAAATATATATCTTACCAAGGGTTCTTATGACGATTTGGTCTTCATTCTCAAATTGCACGTTAATCCCCAAAATATGACGACCATGTCGCGATGCAGAGTCGATCTTCAGTGAAATTAATTGTCCTCTCATCTCATGTGGAATGTTTTTCTGAATTTTCTCAGCATCGATGTTAATGTATTTCTTGGTTTTCCCCGATGAAAAACTGGTACCTAACGCACTAGCTAGCGTGTCAAGAATCGCACGCATTTCGGGCCAGTCAATCGAAGACAAAGGCATATTCCTCAATGAATCGACAATAGCCACGGACGTTATTTTATTTTCTTCGATTTTGCTTCCACTTCCTCACCTTCCTTAAAAAAAAACCCTTTCCTTGGCCAACGCAAAATGTGTACTGCGAAAATTACGCACAAAATTTCCCGCATCAAAATTCTTCTGGAAATATTTACAACTTTCATCACCACTCAACCTACACCACACACCCACGTAATTTTGCACAACGAAATCCTTCGCCTAATCACGAAACTTCCTCTTGCCTGCGATTTTTCTTTCCAATTTCAACCAGTTTCTTATTAAAAACAACACTGCTAAGTTTGCAAATATAACATATAACACTATCTGCGCTAGAGGTGACTGCCGTAGAACTGATTTTTTTTGCAGTCATTCACTACAGCAAACGACAAAGGGAACTTGACCGAAATGAAAATGTGAAAAAAAATCAAAACGAAGCAGAGTGACTAAACGAGAGAGGATTTTTTACGAGAGGGAGCAAGAACTGATTTTTCTACCTAGTCGTAAAGCTGTGCATTTGGAAGTATGAATGCGAAAAGTAGCGTGGAGCAACGGATGGTATACGAAGTACCGCACACAAAAGACTACATGAAATTGAATGAATGGTTATGTTGACTGCGCATGAAAAAAAGGACAGACAGAAGCCCTGCTCTCTGGTCGGATGCAAGGATGAACCCAAAGATGCCGAGAAACACGCCACTGGACAGTTGCTTATCTACTCCACTGAACAGCTGAAACGCTGGTGTGAGCACTTTGAGTTTGAACAACTTCTTCACGTTTCAAGTCATCAACATATCGGCATGATCGAGAGTGCGACATAAAAGTCGAATAGTTCATGCCATGTATACGAAGAATTCGATTGTTTGCATCGATTAATCGATACGATGTTAAGAGGCTACACACTGGATTCTACGACATTACCCGGAAAAACCATTCACCGAAGAAAAAAAAAACCGTTTTTCCAAAACTTGTTCTCGGAAGTACTTGAAACCAAATGATATAGAGGAAACGTACCAGTATTGGCCATGTTCCTATTTTGGACACCTTTGGACGATTTTTCACGTTGTTTACAATTTTTAGATGTTCAGTTGCGTTCAGTTTGTTGGTACAAATCATATTCATCGGTGTATTGCCTGTAAATTAATGATTACCAATTCACGATATATTCCACATCAAGACCAACAATTGAAATGGCCTTAACTGCATTTTGTAAACAAACCTTGTAAGGTCATTTTCTCGCGAACCGAAATCTTCATTCGCAAACCTAAACCACAATCGAGTAGAGGAGAATATCCACTAACTGTTTATTATGTTGGTTTGCCTTTGCGGACTTCGGTTCGCGAGTAAAAGGCCTTACAAGGTTTGTTTACAAAATGGAGTTAAGGCCATTTCAATTGTTGATCTTGTCATAAAGTTGATCGAGGTTACAAAACTATTCATGGACCTTACTGACTACCATAACCATTAGCATTAAAGTCCCCAAACAATAAGTAAAAAGGTCCTCCTTCCGAAAATGTACGGAGAAAACAAGAATTTGGAATGGTAATGGTTCTTAACAACCCATTATTTGTAAGGTCCACTTCCAAAAAAACCATAATACACAAGGAAAACTTTATCACACAATTGTTCATGTAAAGTTCCATAGCCATTTGAGTTAAAGTTTAGGAGGGATAATAAACAATTTTGAACCATTATCGGTAAGGTCAAGTGATGGTTCGCGTTTATGCGGGAAATCAGTGAAATTCATACCGATTTCTGGGCTTAAATTGTGTGGATTAAGTGGATCTTGTGGAATTCTTACGTCCATTTCTTCTTCTTCTTCTTTCCTTTATTTAACGTCGGTCTCTATTCTGCAATCTAGTGCCAATCACCGAAGGACATAGATTGCCATCCATT